GCCTGCCTGGCTGCCTGCTGCCTGCCTGCCTGCCTGGCTGCCTGGCTGCCTGGCTGCCTGCTGCCTCCCTGGCTGCCTGGCTGCCTGCTGCCTGCCTGCTGCCTGCCTGCCTGCCTGCCTGCCTGCCTGCCTGGCTTGTATTTCTTGTAGGCATGCCTCTCATCTTTCATTATTGCAGTTTCCTGGCCCCTAGTAAGGAACCTCCCCTTGTTGTTTGTAAGCTACCCTGCTCTCTAGTGCTGATGTTTTTTAGGATAGAAGGAGGAGGTGGCGTTTCTGTGTGTTCAGTGTTGTATTGATTTGTTGAGCTGTTTGGGTTCCTTGTAGAGATAATAAAAGCAATAGAGAAATTCAGAAACTATTCATGATTAAAATGTACTGGATCCCATCTAGGCTATCTTTATGAGTTTCGAAGACTGTCTTCCCTACAGCTCAATTGGTATCAGATTGTCATACTGTTAAAGGTTACAAAGAGTTTGGAAGACTTGTTTCCAATGAACAATTCCTGTGTGAAATGGACTTTTCCTGTTGTTAGAAGTGTAGGGAGTGAAGTGGAACAATGGTTTTCTGCTTGTAGGATGCTCTCACTCAGAGAGTCTCAGAAGGAGGGGAGGTGCCAATGAAGGACAATGGCTGTCTTAGTGAGAGTTTGACTGCTGGGAACAGACACCATGACAAAAGCAACTCTTATAAGGACAACATTTAATCGGGGCTGGCTTACAGGTTCAGAGGTTCAGTCTGTCATCATGAAAGTAAGAACATGGCAGCATCCAGGCAGGCATGGTGCAGGAGGATCTGAGCGTTCTACATCTTCATCTGAAGGCTGCTAGCCGAATACTGACTTCCAGGCAGCTAGGATGAGGGTCTTAAAGCCCACACCCACAGTGACACACCTACTCCAACAGGGCCACACCTTCTAATAGGGCCACACCTTCTAATAGGGCCACACCTTTAGTGCCACTCCCTGGGCTGAGCATATACAAACCATCACAGTGGCCTTGTGTGTCCTCAGGCCTGTGCTGCTCCGAAGAAGCACTTTTGATTCTAAGTTCCTCTGGACACCTGAAGGGCTAGAGAGGGGTCATGAAGCAGAACTGCCGGCTGAGACTGTTGCCATCTGTCATCCAGGCAGGGGACGGTGCTCGTTCACCCTCTCTGGTCCCCACATGTTGAATGTCCTCATCATTGTTTCCCGTGTGCCGTAACTTCCTGTTTCAAGTTAAATACTCAGATGATGACACAGTTTGTGAGACTTCAGAACTCCCTGGGGCCAGAGAAGGGTTAAAAGTACACAGGTGGCAGATCACTGAGCGCTTGAGACATGGGTGTGGAAGTCAGAGGACAACTCACAGCAGTAGGTTCTCTCCTTCCAGTATGTGGGTACCAGGGATTGAACTCAGACTGTCAGTCTCAATGACAAGGGCCTTAACCCACTGAATCATTTCACCAGTCCCAGATGGCAAATTTGACCTAAGTAGTTTCATCTAGTTTCCACTGGTTTTATAGTTCATTTGAGATTTATCTTGGTGTGCACTGCGATGAGTAGACTTCACTTTTTTTTCCCCGTATGGATTTCCAGTTCTCTTGGGGGGGAAAAGTATTCAAAAGTTCAAGATCACCCTTCTCCCTTAAGATAACTCCTTACTGTATATACTAATTTTCTACTTGCAGTTGGGTCTGTTCAAAGATGTTCTGCGAATTCCCATGGGTCGGCTGGTGCATGCACATGCTGGTGTTACATTGCTTTACAGATCTTTATAACACGCCCTCGGTATGGTGGGGCTCTTCTCTGCATCGCTGCTTTGCTTTTTGATCTCGTTTGATCTTCCAAATGAACTTTAGAACCTACATATATAGTTCCAGGGGCACTACCTAATTGTAGTGAGCTTTAGGAGTTCACGAATGGAGTTTTCATTCATAAAATCAACTTAGGGAAAATTGATGACCTGTTGAGCCTTTTCTAGTATTCAATGTATCTTTCTGCTTTCTTAGTTCTTTTGAACTTAGTTGTTAGTTTATGCTTATATGAGTCATTTTAAAAATAATTTTGCTGACATAATGACTATTGCTTTTCTGCTACATCTTTAAACTGGGCTTTTGTTTGTATCCATATGTCTATACAAAGGCTGTTATTTCACTCTGCTACTTTAGTGAATTATCCTATTGCTTGCTGTTTATTCTTTCCTTGCAGGCCTTTTTAGGTTTTGTAAGCCTTTCCTCTGAGCATAGAAAGCGGTTCATTTCTTCCTTTCCAGTCCTGCTTATCTGACTACTATCCTTTGCAATTACATTACTAGTGTGTTTAGAATCAGTGCCACAGAAGCCGGCTTTTGGAGGGGTCTGTGTTGTGCTCCCCTGCAGCAGGGACACCCCTAGTACTTCCTTGTGAAATAAGATGATGATTGTACCTGGAGAAATGTACTTTATCGTTTTAAGGCTATAGCTGTCACTAATTTTAAAGCAGGCATAATTGTGTCCAGTGGACTTTCTGGGACCCACCAGTGGTATAAATCGTGGCACAGAGGCTGCTCTTAGAGTTTAAAGCTTGAGCCTCTAGCTTGGACAGTCTCCCAGCTAGATCATCTAACTCAAACCAGCTATTTGCCCACAACCCACCATGTGGTTAGCTCTAGACCTTTCTCTGCTTCCTTCTTGTCCATCTGTCTTCCTCCCTGACTCTCTCTGAATCCCCTCCTCTCGACATTCTCTCTGCCCGGAAGTTCTGCCCTTTACTTCTTGCCCAGCTATTGTCTGTCAGATTTTTATTATAACCAATCAGCAGTGGTACAATCTCTGGTACAATTCTAGATTGCCTCTAGACATAGAGAGCTTTCTGATCTTTAAGTATCTGAGCAGGTTGCCCTCGATGGGCCATAAACATGACATTATCAGTATCCTGCTGGCATTTTGCTCTCTGGGAGGGTACAGAATTAACAATTGAAAATACAGAGACACACCTTCATACAGTGTAAACAACTATTGTCTCTTGCCATTTTTTCTTTTCTTTTTTTTTTTTAAAGATTTATTTATTTTACTTATGAATATACTGTAGCTGTCTTCAGACACACCAGAAGAGGGCATCAGATCCCATTACAGATAGTTGTGAGCCACCATGTGGTTGCTGGGACTTGAACTCAGGACCTCTGGAAGAGCAGTCAGTGCTCTTAACCACTGAGCCATCTCTCCAGCCCCCATTTTTTCATAATTAGTAGTAATCAGAATTTTCCCTTTAGATCCACTAATATAATATGTTAATGGAAATATGTTATTAGAAAGTATTGGAATTAATTTTAAATTCTTAGGGTAGTTCAAATATTGCTTTTCAAATATATGTTCAAATTTTCTTTGTAATAATTTTTTTTGGTTATTGAAGATTTTTGTTTGTTTTGTTTTTGTTTGTTTGTTTGTTTTTGTTTTTTGTTTTTTTTTTTTTGAGACAGGATTTCTCTATGTAGCCCTGGCTGTCCTGGAATTCACTCTGTAAACTAGATTGGCCTTGAACTCAAGAATCTGTCTCTAAGTGCTGCAATTAAAGGCATGTACCACCACCACGCCCAGCACTTGCTGAAAATTTTTAAGTTGAATTGGGTTATTGTATTAGTTTTATAGTGAATTTGAAAGTATTTCTTCGCTTAACTCTGAAACTGTATAGTCTTGGAATTATTTTATTTTCAAAGGTCTGAAAGACTTTCTTTTGGAATTTGTGTGCATGAATGGGTTCTGTGTTTGTACTTGTTATCTCCTTTTACTGGAAGTACTGATACTTTTAACATCATCCTTGGTATCTCTGGGAGATCCATTTCCTATCCTACTTGATACCAAACTCTGAGATCTTTAAGTCTCTTACATGCAAAAGTATAGCTTCTGCGTGTAGTTTTGGCACATACTTGTTAAAATACAAGTCTACTATTGGTGCTGTGTAACTGCTGTAATCTTTATCTAGGCAGGAAGGACAAGAAAGGGACGGTGTGTGTTCATTATAGGCAATATTTTTAACCTGTATTCCCCAAACACTGAGTCTTTGGCTACAGTAACTGCAGATAGAGAGGGCTGGCTGTGTTTGTGATCTGTGAAGTCCACAGAGACTTCCTGTGACTCCGTAATGCCTTTCTCAGGATAGCTGGGTCGTCTTTGTGTCTAGGTTTGACTTATTATAACTTATTCTTCTCTTCTTGTAGGTATGGGGCAGATGTTGATGTCAACCATCATCTGACTCCTGACACCCGGCCCCCTTTCTCAAGACGGCTAACCTCCTTGGTGGTCTGTCCTCTATACATCAGTGCTGCCTACCATAACCTTCAGTGCTTCAGGCTGCTCCTGCAGGCTGGGGCAAATCCTGACTTCAATTGCAATGGCCCTGTCAACACCCAGGAATTCTACAGGGGCTCCCCTGGGTGTGTCATGGATGCTGTCCTGCGCCATGGTTGTGAAGCAGCCTTTGTGAGCCTGCTGGTAGAGTTTGGAGCCAATCTCAACCTGGTGAAGTGGGAATCCCTGGGCCCAGAGGCAAGAGGCAGAAGAAAGATGGACCCTGAGGCCTTGCAGGTCTTTAAAGAGGCCAGAAGTAAGTGGCCTGAGCTCAGCTCTGTATTGTGGTCTGGGGTTGATTGAGCCAGTGAGATGTAGGACTAATTAAAAAAGGACAAAACAGCCCCAGAGAGATGGCCCAGCTGTTAAGAGTCACAATTGACTCTAAGTCCAAGTCTAGGAGGCCCTCCTCTGGCTTCTGCAGGCACTACATGTGTGTGGTACCCAGACATAGAGGCATATAAAACACCTGTACATATGAAAATAAATAAGTGAGTCTTAAATAACAAAACAACCCCCCAACCCCCCCAAACTTTCCAGCTAAGCACTTAATTAAAGCCCTCAGGACTGGCAGTTTTCTAGAGTGGTCATTCAGTGAGAGTGTATATGTTTCTCTGTGTAGGTGTAGGGGGTGGTGTGAGTGTGTGCATTGTTCACCTTTATTTTGAGACAGGGTTTTTCATGAACCTGAGACTTGCCAAGTAGACTTAGCTGGCTGGCAGAACTCCCGAGATCTGCTATGTGTCTCCCCCCAGTGCTGGGATTGCAGTGTGTCCTGTACTCCGGCTTTCTTTGGGAGGGTGAGGCATTATGTTTGCATGGCAAACACTTTACCATTAAACTCCCTCCCTAGCCCCAGGTGGTTATTTAGCAACTCCTGAATACCAAAAGCTGATTCCAAAACTCCATAAATGTAGATCTATGCTTTCAAAGTTCTTAGAATTATATTCTCTACCTTTTTGCTCTTAGCTAATGGTTTCTTTGTAACATTTTTCCTTTTTTTGAGACAGCATTTCTTGTATAGCTCTGGCTATTATGGCCCTTACTCTGTAGACCAGGCTGGCCCTAACTTAGAGTTCCACCTGCCTCTGCCTCCCACATGCTGGGATTAAAGGTGTGAGCCACCACCTGGCTTCTTTTATTTATTTATTTTTTCTTAATTTGCTTTTTAGGTCACTGTATCAAGTGATAGGTTGCATCATAGCATTGAACCTGTTTTTAATATGTTTTAGTTAATGTATATGGGGGAAGCATGCACATGCCATACATGACTGTAGGAGGCAGAGGATGTGGAGGAGTCAGTTCTTTCTTTCTGCCACGTGGTCCCATGGGTTAGGTCAGGTGACCAAGTGTGGGAGCAGAGCGCTCACTCTCTGAGCTGTCGTGTTGGCCCATCACGGTGTCTTCACTCATGGGTCCTTATGTTCTGTCTTCCTCATCTCTGCCTTCTTTGCTCAGCTTAGCCCCTGCCTTCCTCTTCAGGTGCATTTTAATGAACAGAGCTACAAGCCCATTTTCTAGAGTTTCTCTCTTCATTTTAAAAAATTCCATTCAAATATCAGAGGGTTGAATTATGTGATAAATCCAGTTTTTGTTAAAATGAAGTATGGAGTTTACTTGTTTGCCTGGAAGGATTTTGTCAAGGAATTAATAAGTCAGTGGCAACAGAGTTTGGAGTTTACCTGTGCTTGGATTTGCTGTCAGCGCTGTCTCAGATGCAGATTTAACCTGTGTGTCTGTCTTATTTCCTGTCTGATGCCTACCTCTCACTTCTCCCGTCTTGTCAGAGGACATAGGAATTAATAATCTGTCCTTGGTCCCTTATTTCTTACAGAACACGAATAGCAGTGTGGTTTTGTTAGCTATGTTCAAGCCAGGCCACGGAAACATGTTCCTGCATAGTTTTTCTCCAAGGTGCTGGCTGATGGCCATCCAGGTGGGAACCAGGCTGACAGAGTGAAGCTGCTTGTGGTCACATATTGTTTGTGTCACCTTCTCTTCCTGAAGCAGGGGTTTAGCTGTGTGGTCTAGATTGGCAGCAGGACCGTCAGCCTAGTCTCTGAATTCAAGTACTGTACACTTGGTACCCCCAGCCCTCTGTGACTTGCTGGGGCAGAGTAGGAGGGAAGGTCATTTGCTCTCATTTGTGGGGTCTTCCATGGGTAGCTTTTTTCTAGGACACTAAGCATTGCAGAGGGAGGAGTGGGTGTCAGATGAGCAGATGCCCTGGTTGAGATGCAGATAGCAAGCCTTCCAGTAGCTTCCAGGGCCTCCTTCACTCAGAGGTATAGGAAGGTGTTGTGATGTCAGTGCAGTCGTGTCCACTTTATGTTAGTGTAGTTGGTTTGGGGCCTACAGAGCTAGGAGAGAAGTAACCTTTCCTCTTCTCTCTCTCACACTCTCCAGGTATCCCCAGGACCTTGCTGAGTTTGTGCCGTGTGGCTGTGAGAAAAGCTCTTGGCAAATACCGACTGCATCTGGTTCCCTCGCTGCCGCTGCCAGACCCCATAAAGAAGTTTCTGCTTTATGAGTAGCATTCAGATGCAGCACTGACTGCAGTGAGGAAGCCGTTCATCTGCAGTGAAAACTGACACGGACTCTGGACTCTGGCATGCTGGGAACCATGGCCTGTGCTGACAACTTGGTCCTTGGCTGTCAGTGAAGAAGAAAGGCCACATTCTCTTGGACTGTGATTCCATCTCAGGTGCTTGGGCCATTGAACGCTCCTTGAGTCATTGTCAACTGAGAGGCGCATACAAACTTAATTTTGTTCCTCTTAAGTCTCTCTGTTTTGGATTCTTCCTGGCACTTATTACCAAAACGGCCTGTGAAATGTGTGCAGTATGGGCTGAGCCTGGTGATAGCCGCAGTGGGGAAGGCTTCTTTCTCCAGAGCTATGCACCTATTTTATGTTCCTACTTTGCAACTTATTGTTCTTTTAAGGCTTGATATCCAAACAAAAAGAGAAGCTTGTTAAGAAAAGCTGTAGGGAGCAGGAGTGTGGTTCCTGCACTTGCTAGCCTGCTTTCTTGCTAGTCTGGGGTTGTCTGTATCTGCTGCTGATGCTTGTCTGTATATGCTGCCAGGTGCACATCATGGCTGCAGAGTTCTCTCGGGAGTTGTCTTCAGTCCAGAATGGCTTCTGGGCTAATACATTGAGGTCCCAGAACAGTTTTCACAGGGCAGCACTTGCTCTGCCAAGGGTTTTCTGATGTCTCACCCTGGGGATCTTCAGACCTTTAGGAGACTCACCTGGAACTAACCAGTAAGTGACTGCCTACATTCAGACCAGGGACCATCCTAATAGCACTCACTGCCAGTCCTCACAAGATAAGACGACACAGGGTGCTCTCTTCAGATTCTCCCAGACAGGAAGTGGGAAATGTCTTGCTCACTTGCGTGGTTCCAGGCTACAGCTTCTTGGTGTCCACCAGATAGGACATCTGGGTGTTGGGTGACTGTTTCTCCTACTTTCTGGCCCTATGCCTTTGTGGGTGCTCCTAGAGGTCTTTCTCTGTCCTGCCCAAGGTTGCTGGTGGGTGAGAGAGAAGAGCTTATTGCAGGTGTGCTTAGCTCTTGAGGTGTGAGAGTTATGAGCAGGTGAGGCAGGGACCACGGCCTTGAGCATCCTTAGCTTGTTCCTGTTTCAGTGAAATCACCTTTTGTCTTTGTGAAGCCTGTTAAGATATTGTGTGGATCTGTGATGATTATAGACTTGAGAATGTTTACGGACAAACAGATACTAAATCTGTTTAGATTTTTGGCTATAAAAGGAATTTAACTTGTAATACTTTGCTATTGTACCATTTTGTGTTTTAGCTGACCGGTCAGGCAGTGGTGGCCTTTGTATTCTGTGGATGGAGTTCCAAACCCCACCCTAGTATCTCAGGAAGGCCCTGTGCAGCAACACCAAGCTGGTCCAAATGTACTACATGAGTTTTGATGGGCCTTGCCCAGGCCTGGAGAGTGAGTACTGTATCTAGGGCAGGAATGAGCTGGGCTAGAACCTGTCCCCGGTCTCCCCACAGCTGTTCTGAGTGGCCCCAGCCATAGCTCTTCACTTGGACTTGAGGAGCTTATTCCGTTCTAGGTTTTTCAGAATCTCAGCACTGCAGGCTTCTTCTGCTTGTTCAAAACTTCCAGCTGGCAACTCTGAATGTGACACAGCATTGGCACTGACTGAGGACATTTTCCCTTGTCTCCAGTAGTGTTCTGAAAGTGCTTCATGTCATTGCTGTCAAGGATGAGGTGCAGGTTAGGAAAGAGTAGCTGTGAGCACCCCAGGTTCATGAGAGAGGCACCATGGGAAGTGGATGTGACCTCGGTGAGGATTGACCCTCTACTTAGCAGACTTCTGAGCAGTGGTTACCTGTGTCCTCCCTAGCATCGAGATGTGGTAGGCCTGGTCCAAATGTATCCCATGAGCTTTGATGGCTGAGCTGGGCCTAGCAGAAGTCCTCAGTGGCCTGAAGGCTGTCCCAGCTCGTCTAAGGAGTGTCTGTGTGATTGTTGCTGTTACTGGGACAGCGACTTGATTTGAATGAAGGCTTGTGCATCCAATCTTGGCCAGGCAGGTTGGAACCAATGCTGACTCCTCAGAGTTTATCTTTGCACTATTGGGCTTTTAGACATATGTCCAGAAACATACCAATGCAATGCCATACATTTCGTAGCTATTTTATTTGTGATGTCTGCCTATCTATCTATCTATCTACCTATCTATCTACCTATTTATTTATTTATTTATTTATTTATACTCTTCCTCCATAAGAGGCCTGGTCCAAATGTATCCCATGAGTTTTGATGGCTGAGCTGGGCCTAGCAGAAGAGCTTAGAGGCCTGAAGGCTGTCCCAGCTCGTCGAAGGTAGAGAGTATTGTCTTGTTTTGACAGTAGGTAAACTGAGGCAAAAATACTGGTAAAGTAGGTAATTAGTAATGTTCAGATGTTGACCAGTACTGTTGAGGACCGTCATTTCAAAGTTTCCCCTTTTCTCTTTCATGAATGATTTCTTAGATTAAAAATTTCCTGAAAGAAAATGTACTGACAGTGGGCCTGAGCAGGGGGACATTATGCCTGAGGGCTGCCCTGCCCTGCTCAGCCAGTTCCTGGGGCAGCGGAGGCTGCATGGCAGATAGGAAGAGCTTCTGTGGATGCTGGTGAAGGCCTGTGAAGAGCTGACACCTGCTGGCACTTTGTTTGGGAGTGGTCTTGGTCATGAGGGAACTGCTTCTTAGTGGAAGTGCGCTTAGGTGGTCCCAGTGCTGAGAGCCCACAGTCTGGAGATGTGGGATTGACCTTGTAGGGCAGTTGGATCATCTTGGCACACAATGCAGCACCAGCAGAGAGCCAAGAGTAAGCTTGTAATATTGGAGGAAATCAAATTTCCTCAGCTGAATGGATTGTCTTTTATATTTCAGTCATGTCCTTCCTGACAAATAACAGAAGGCATGCTTGAAAGGGATGGTATGGGGCTATGGCTTTGCATGTAAAACACTCCTGATTGCAGCCTGCCTGGTGGTGAAAGGCACTGTGGCTTTCCCGCTGCCTGGGGTCTGAGCCTAGCCTGGAGGGTTACTGTGTGCAGCCTGAGAAGTCTAGCCATGCTTTGGTGGACCTCTACCACCCCAGATCCATGAGGTCGTCCACAGAGAGTCAGTGTGGCCTTTTTGGTAAGGCTTGCTTGCCCCTCACTCAGGCTTTGGGAACCAGTGGTACTTAGGACACTGGTGATGTCACCAGTGGTGGTCTGCTGGTACCTTTGTCTCCTTGGTGCCTGCGCACCAGGCACTTGGAGACTAACCCTGACCTGCAGGGGTCTAATGACTTTCTGTCAGCACACAGCGATTCCTGGAAGTGCCTCTTGACTTGGGGGCTCCTTTCTTTTTCTCGCTTATTATCGCCACATTGCTCTCCTTCCCATAGTTCCTTGGTGTGCAATAAAGTAGTAGGCACATGTGTATAACTGGTTAGGGAGTCTCAGTCATCCCGGGAGGGTCCCATGGACGGGCACCCGCAAGCTCTGAGCTGCGCAGTGACACTCCAGCCTGACAGAGGATGGTGAGCTGAGGAGAGCACGGGAGAACTGCTGTAGCCAGAACAGGCACCCGGCACTGTGTCAGCCATGCATGGAACTCTTCTGTACTGGGGATCGAACCCGATCCTGTGCCTATGAGGCAAGCACTCTACCACTGAGCTGTATCTTTATTTCTTAGCTAAGCCAAACAACAGAAGGATGTTTGTAAATCTCATTTGAGATTGGCATTTATGAACCTAGCTGTCTTGCAATGGGACAGTTTACTTCTGACATCTTGCCAGCAGTGCCCTGCTGTCTCCTTCAGTGTCTGTACAGCGTCCACTACTTCTGTTGGTGTAGGGCATGAGTAGTGTACCATGCACTGGGGACTGTGTGCTTGTGCTGAAGACATGCTCACTGCAACCCTCTGTTTCCTGTTTGAGGATGAATGAGTGCTGTTTGCAGTGGCCAGGACCGACTGTTTTTGCCCTTGTGCCTAGTTAAGAGATTTCAAAAGTACAATGACATTTTTATACATTCTTATAATAAATGCTTTATTGCCCTCTGATTTCCTTCCCACATGCCTTAATTTTGTGGCCTGTGTCTCATTGGATGGAAGCTTCCTCTGTGTATAGTCTGTTATTTACATTAGTTCATTCATTCATTCATTCATTCATTGTGTGTGACGTGTGTGTCCCCTTGTACCTGCATTCCCATGTAAGCTATGGTGTGGGTGTGGAGATCAGAGGACAATGTTTGGGAGTTGGTTCTCTCCTTCTACCATATGGGTTCCAGGGATTTAACTCAGGTAGTCACATGGTAGAAAGTGCCTTTGCCCTCCACGCCATCTCACTGTCTCCACGTGCGGCTGTGTGCACAGCTAAGTGGGAGGGACTGGCTCCTGGATAGTTTCCTATGGCTGGAGATAAAGTTCTAAAACAGGAGACAATAGCTATTCAGTGGATCTTGGGGCTGCAGGGAGCCCCAAGATCTATATTTTTGCCCAGGATTAAACTATTTAGTGTTGCCTGGTTCATCTAGTGGCTGTGGTTCCAGGACTGAAGAGAGTTGCTTCTCACAGCTTTCCATCTAGTAACATTACACAGCACTCGGTGGTGTGGGCACATGAGGGACACTGCCATTTGTGCCTCATGTGATATGTGACTTATTTTGCCAGTTGAGAGTAAAATCTGGCAATTTGGGATAAGCCTGGAGTGACTGAACTGAATAAAGGTATTTCTTCATCTTGAGCATCTGGCTCCCTAGCTCTGTGCTCTGTGTCTCTTCTGCTTCAGCGGTTGCTTCCATTCCTTACTCATGGTGTATTACTGAAAGGAAGAAAGGTGTCCTTAGCCCCTCCCATCATTGGTGTGGCAGGCTGCCTGTCCATCACTCTCCATCTCCATCTCCCATGCAGAACTCTGTATTTTTGAGACAGGCTCTCATATATCCTTGAAGACCTTGAACTCTGATCACAGGTACGCACTGCTGTGCCTGGTCTCCTAATGGTACTTGGTTTGGTTTAGAGGCTGGACACTTTGGTTTCACCAGTGAAAGCTGCATAGTTTAGTCACTTGTGTGACTCAGTGTGACCATTTACCATTATCCCTCCCTAATCCTTGTGACATGACAGAGCCTTTCTGAGAATGGATGAATGATAACTCAGAACAATCTGAGAAGACAACACTGTAAGAAGGACAAGGGAACAGAGAAGCTGAGCTCTTGGACGTCTGGGACGGAAGGTTCTGGTGCCTCTGAAAGTATTTGAGGGAAAGAGTGAGCCAAGCAAGACTAGCCACCAGCCTTCTAAGAAGCAGGTAGCTCCTGCCCACCATACACTAGGCAGTCAAACCCCCTTTGGCCACGTGGGAGACATCATTGAGCCTTTAATCTGCAAGACTTTCAGCTCCATAATGGTTTCGAGGCAGAAAGTGCAGCTGCAAGAGGCTTCTCTGGAGATCCACCTCAGCTCCAAAGGAAAGTCTGGAAGATATCAATGTAGTGTGTGGCCAAAGAGATGATCAAGCATGTCCTCCAGAGGGTTCCAAGTGAGAGACTCCTGAGAACACAGGCTTCAGTGTCCAGGTTACCAGGGAAGGCTTATGCTAATGTTACTGGGATTTCAGAGCCCTGGAGTACTGCCAGAGGGATAAGCGGTGGCCATACAAAGTGCCCTGAGCAAGCACTGGTGGAGTTCCCCCAATGGCATTCTAGGTTGGGGACCTAATTTCTCAAGGGAAATTATTTCCAGATCAATTAAAAGTCACTCTGAAAGACTTATGAACTCTAAAAGTTTAGGAAATTACTTGTGGATAGACTTCAAAATGAGGGAATAAGCCAGGAAGGAAGGGGACTTAACAGTGGAAATTGAGATTCTAACATAAAGAGATAAGGCACCAGACATGGGATGTTTGCTGAGCCTTCAGATCAGAGACTGAACACCACCAGTTATTTCTGAACACCTGACAAAAGATGTGGAGACGAGCTGTGCTCAGGGTACTGATAACTATAATGAATGGAAACTAGCTGAGCAAGAAAAAGTTAACACAATAAAAACGATCACATGTCAGGGATGACAGGAAGGTTAAGTGTTCCTGATAAGGGGACACTAATAAATAGAGCAGCAGCCCCAAGTCTAGCCAGGTCACAATGGAGGCAGTGAAGCTAATCAGTCCCCATTATCCACAGGGAGAGGTGAGCAGGAAACACCCCAAAGGGAGAAAGGCAGCACATTAGTATGGTAGAAAACAGTCAAGAGAACATAAAGAGGGTGGAAGGGAAAGGTTAACAAGTAGGAGAGATTTACTAGACACACCCCCAATATATAACAAAGCCCAGGATTGCTGCCTTTGAAGAAGACAGGGTGTGTGAGGAGATCTCGGTTAGTAGATAAGAAAATATAGATACTGTGAAACATTTCTCCTGTGTGGACTGGAGAGTTGGCTCGGCAGTTAAGAGTACTTGTTACTCTTGCAGAGGACCCCAGGTTCAGCTCCTAGCATTCATATAGCATCTCACAACCATCTAACTCCAGACAGAGGGGATCTGATGATCCTTTCTGATCTCTGTGGGTACCAGGTATGCTCATGGTACACAGTCATATATGGAGGCAAAACACCCATAAACAACAAAATAAATCTAAACAAATTTCATGTAGCCCAGGCTGACCTCCAACTCATTGTGTAGCTGAGGATGACCTCAAACTTCTGATTCTCATCCTCCTAACCTCCTAAGTGTTGGGATTTCAGACAGTGGATGCTACCACGCCTGGCTATTACTAAAAGAATATGTACCCACCACTTGGCTATCCTGGCTAATACTGAAAGAATATACATCCACCACTTTGCTAGACCTTTGTAAATCCTTACTACATCCCAAATCTTACCCTTATACCTACAGATAAGTGTGGCTACCACCACTCATCAAAGAAAGCCCTCTTTACAGTAAACGGAGACCATCACAGTAAATCACAGCTTGATACGTGTCAGAAGTCAATGGATCTCAGGGAGCCCAGCCACAATGGTCACATCTACATGTGGCCCTAGCAGCAGGCCTCACAGCAGTACAGTGGTTATAGGAATATGGAAAACGAACAAGCCATTTAAAGCATCCACTCCCAAGGAAACTGGATTTCTAGTTAAAGGAAGTACATTGGTGACACTAGAAGTCAAATGACAGTGGGCATGAAAAAATGACATGAGATTTAAGACTGTAAGTTTCACCTGGGTCCAGTAAAGACTTCTGTTCCAGGTTTTATGGTCCTGCCCCTTTCCTGCCAATGCCCTGACTTTGCTAGTGTTAAAGCTGTGAAGCCAATGCAGTTAGATACCAGATACGAGTGTGTGTGTGTGTGTGTGTGTGTATGTGTGTGTGTGTGTGTATGTTGGAGCATGGAGATGGTGTCTCTTATGCTTACTGCCTTACCATTTGTGCTGGGCTACCAAACCTTTTTTGGCATTCCTTTCTGCCAGTTCCTAGTGCCCTCAGAGGACCCAGTTGCCCACTATAGCACCTGTGGTCAATCACCACTGTGACAAGTCCGTCCCAGCAGCTACTGGGGCTCCCAAGGTCCTTGCTTTATCTGGCTTTGTCACAGTCCTTGATATGATGCTAGTGATTGGCAGCCAGTTCTGAACAGAGGCATCCTATTTTTTAATTAGCTGTGAGCTGAGCCCTGCATAAGCTCACCAGTATGACTACAACTCAGTTCCAAAACCCATCCTTGGGAGCCCATCTCCCGTGTTACCTCTGTTCTGATTCCAGGTGACCATTGCTACGCTACTAGTGTGCAAGAAAGCAAGCTACTGAGGAAGAAAGGCTTGAGAGAATTTGTGACTTTTTCTGGAGATTGAGTAGTTCTAAAGAGTATCCTTGGGGAGAGTACCCAAGCAAGTGGGTGAGCTGGAAGGGGAAGAAGTCAGCCCCTCCTAAGACTTGACTGGGGACCCTAATGAAGACGTCATATAGTTTTAAGATCAGTAGATACCAGAGAAAATTTCCCGGATGATCTGGGCCAGGAGAATCTGTGTCTGTGAAGCTAGGATGAACAAGTCAGGAACTAAGCTGTCATACGGGACATGGCTCTCCCCCAGCAAACCTTGTGGGTGCCTGAGGTGCTGTCAAACTTGTTGAGAAGCCTGCTGGGACATGGTTGGATTTGCAGGCTAGCTGCTAAGAAGGTCTTTATGGAGTGGCTTGGGGTGTGGGGGTGTCAGCAGTACTCTCTGGGTGTTTCTGAGCCCTCCATGGGGAAGCCAGCTCAGTTGCCCGCAACTCCCTGGGAGTGATCCCCTGGTAGCCACAGCCACTGGGGTGGCTTGAGGAAGCCGGGCAAGTCAGAGCCAGGAAAGGCAGGCTCTTCCAGTGTTATTCTGGCGACCTCTGCTGGCAGACAGAGCCTAACCTTGCTGCTGCAGGCAAGGGAAGCATCCAGAACTGCAGTGGGACAATGTAGGGTGAAGTTAAAACAGAGATACTATGTGCTGGCAGTTGGTGCAAAAAAACTTGTGTTAAGTCAATGCATCCCTGTTGCTTAACATATAACAAAGACAGGAGAGAAGAAGCCCACACTGGCCCACTTCACAGTGGTTAGCAGTATGCAAAACAGTGCATTAAGATCACAGTGGACATATAGGTGCTAGATGACTCTCCACCAAGAAGGCTTGTTCTTCCTTCATGGCACACACTCTGAGCTGTGGCCCTGATCACCAGGAAAGCTGCTTGGAGACTGGTGCTGAGCCAGAGTTTCCAAGTTAGGCTTTGAGACCAGGGCTTCAAATGTAGCCACATTTGAAGGCTATGGCCACATCCTCTGTCCTTTAGTTGTAGATGATGAACCCTCCATGGGATGATGGAGTTGGAGAAGAAAGCATCAGGTTCAGAAGAACTCCTGAACAACCAAGGGTCTTGTCATGGCCAGTTACATGAATCATATCCATACTCTCCAATGTTGAGCTAGCATTTATGTTCCTAGGGACCTTACACTGAGGTCTACTTCTTGTTCCGTTCACTACAGTGTCCTTCCCTTTTCCATGGACTGGGTCTCTGGGGAAGCACTCTTAAAGATGC